GCGGTTGACAGGTTAACCGCTCTCTTATCTCAAACTTATGAGAGCAGTTATAATTGAACCGCTCTCAGAAGTATATTTTGGAGAGCGGTTCTCCTTTAAATGCTCTCCAAAGTGAACTTCTTAGAGCGGTTCAACCTGAACCACTTTCCAAAGTTAAGAAATATTTTTAAATATTTTAATAAAACTGGCATAAAATATTTTTTTAGCATACCTGGTAAATTATATAGTATTTAGAACCAATTTAAACAGAATATAAAATTCAAACAGAGCCTGATATACCAGAATTTCAGAGCAATTGCACATTGTATTATTCAATTACAACTCACATGTATAGATTACAATCAATCAGAGTCTCATATTTACACATTTTTCCTAGCCTTTAAAGAAAATTGTCTAAATATTGTAAAAGAACACTAATAATCTATTGTGCTTAATGTGTCCTTTAAATATCTATGGTACAGATATGAACACCACTCCTTTTGCAATTGACAAATTTTGTTGTCAGGAAAAGTTGGCATATGCACCTCTGGAAAGTACTGAAATAGAAGGACAGGGAAAACAAAACTTAATTAATTAAGTGAAATAATAAGCATATCTGGCAAACGAATTGGAATGTGTAATATTATTACATTTACTGGGGTTACAGTTTGTCCATGGTGCAAAGCATCCCCAATGAATAGACACATAATATCCACAGTCATTATTATTTGTTTGCTTGGGACACTGTGTGGAAAATAAAAATCAAATAAAATAGTATTAACTAAGAATGATATACAGTGCAATTACAATTTAGATGAAAATTAAAAACATGAGATATGATATAGTCTTACCTGTACAGTGATTCATTTTGTTTGACTCATCTTTGTACTAGAGAGTTGCACTCCCCTCTCTGCTCGATACGTGACAAGAGCACTAAGAGTCGTGAACCAAAGAAATTAGATACATTTGAACCACTTAACATTAATCATAGTTGATTGACATAAATGAATGCTTACTTATTAAATAGGTTTTGCATGTGTGTTCTCATCTTCAGCTGCTTGCGTAGAGGGTCCATATAATAGATAGTCTCGTCAGCAGTATTGATGGTAACCAAGACCCAATGTTGCTTACTACGAGTATAAATATCATTTTAAGATTACTACGTTTAAAAGTTATATGCTAAATTATAAAACATAAAGCAGAGTCTCGCTGAGATTGACTTACCCAACATTATAAGGTGCAAAAATCAAGTGATCTTCACCCATATGACGCTTCAACATTTCAGCTATATGTTGATGTGGGTTCGGATTGAGCGCTTCGTCCATTTCATATGGAGATATAAATGAGAATCTATTTGTCATTGTCCCATGCAAATAAGCTTCATACAAATATCTTATTTTGCAAAAGTAGAATTGAACATTATTAAATAAAGGTTATAAAAGTTATAAATTGACTATGAATTATACAATTTAAAAATTAATGTACAATATGTAATGGTTAATGCTAGAGGTACTTAACCAATGTCGATGTATGACCTCTATGATGTTTTCCTTCCCCACAATGTCATAAAACTCTTTACCCCAGTGCTCACTTGTCAGTTGAATTGTAGTTGTATCAATGGTTTGATCACTTATCACAAATAGTTTCATCATATCCAAGCATGCAGCACCTTGGGCTTCTGCTAACTTCAGAATCTCTGATGACATACAACCAGTGCTACCTTTATTGGATGGACCAGCAATGAACTCTTTTGAGTACCCTGTCTCTTTTCCTAACCCTTTACCTGATGAAGGGGCAACCTGAAAAGAACAAACCTTTTAATTGTAACATCTAGTAACAGGAACTATAAAGAAACATGTTTACATACCTTGGGTCTTAAAGTGATTAGGGACAATGGCCAAGCAACATAAGTATCAATGACATCTCTCAGGGAATACAGGTTTGCTTGTTCATTTGGGACAAGCAGTGTAGAGTCCTCTTCATGTCGTTGCACTACCTCTATAGAAACCTTACCATGCTCTAGAGGAAGAGCCATATTATGTAAGGAGTCCCTAGCCACTGTATGATATACTCTACCTTTTGCAACCAGGCGAAAAGGTTTGTTCAAGTATAGCATACAGTCATGATCATCCTACAAATGAAAGTTTGTTATATTACGCAAAAATTAAATCAAAAACATTAAACATTAAAAGGTAAATGATGATTTACTGTAGTTTAAATACCTCTGGAATCTCAACAAATGCAATTGGTGTGCAACCACCTCTATGACTGGTAAAAGGTGCATCTATAGGCGTTTGGGGACCAATATCTGCCATTGGTTGCATTTGAGAACCAATATTGAAAGGAGGTGGCATACATGGTGGTGGGGAATGAGTGGGGTTGAATGACATCTGACCTGACATGAATGGGGGTAGTCCCTGACCCCCCTGTCAACTGTGTCACTACATTGGTCAAATGCGCTACCCAATGCTTCATGTTTTGGCACTCGGTAGATGAAGGATGTGGATATGTAGCTGGCCCAAATGCAGATTTTTGAGTCACCCCAAAACCTACAGCCCTCACGTGACCTGGATGCTCTCTTACACCAAGTGCTTGAGAGAGTATGTCATTTCGGGCTGTTGATTCAGTCTCAGCGTCTAGAGAGACCTGTGAAAAGGTTTCCTACAATAAACATAACAAAAAACCATTAGGAAGGAGAATTCAAAATAAAACTTAATGTATTTGAAAATACTAACACATTAGTATTAAGTACTTACAAATTCATTGACCATTTTTTTAACTCCTTCGTCATCAATGCTACCTTGTTTATTTACCCTAGCAGCTTTCCAAAGGACATGTCGAGGTACTGAGGTCAAATTAGACGCAGATGTAACAATCTACACAAAATTAATAATTAAATGCCCTTGTTAATAGGTTTAAGATAAAAGAACACATTAGCATCACATTGTTACATAAGACACAAAAAACATACCAACTCTTGCTCCAACTGAGTATATCCCTTAGCTGACCTCCTGTATCTATACGACATTCCTTTTGCCCTTTGTGCATTAGCCTCACTTTCTTTCTGAAGTAAGGCATTCAGAAATGTACCAAATCAATACCCATTTGTGATGGTGACAGTAATTTGATATAATAATGTGTGACATGGTACCTTGAAAGTTTCTATGCAGCTTTGGTTGACAAAGTCCATCCAGTGATCAGTGACTGTGATGAATCTTTGATACTTCTCCAGAGGATGGGGGACACAATTTTCATCTTTGTCATAAATATGTTTCCTCAAACGTGTCCAGAATGCACGAAGGTCTTGTCCAGCTAAAGAAGGAATAAAATCTTTATGAATAGTATCCACTTCAAAAGTTTGCTACATTGGAAATACAAAACATATCAGATAAACCCTCTTGGGTAAACCAATATAAAATAACTGAAATGATTATGATTGTGTACCTCAACTTGCTCCCAAATGTGTTCTTTAACATTAGTAGGGACATTTGTCCAATCAGAATAACTGATTCGCACTGTACTCCTAGTAACAAAGCCAATGAAATGTGCAAATTTTGATCTGTTATGGTTTATCGGTTGACCTTTTCCATTCCAGCCAGCCAATGTGCAAATATAAATCATAAAGACATTTTAGTGTTACTAATATTAGCATAAAAGATCATTGAATATCATTGCAAAATTCATTGATGGTGACAATTTACTTGTAACTTTTGTCCTAACTTTCTTGATTTGCTAATGGACTTAAGTTTGGTAATCCCTCTACCCTTTTTCTTATTTGCCTTAGCGGAGTGATGACAGGGACTCCGTCTATGTTATCTGAAGAAGTCATCTTTGTAAGACAAAAGGTAAAGGTTAACATTAAATAATTACATTCAGGGATAAAGTAAAATCATAAAAACAAATTATAATCAATTCAAATTTAATATGAAATGCGCCTTTTTCTTTTTTTAGGAGACTTACTAAGTTTCCTATGACCTTTTATTGAATGAAATGACGGATTCAACCAAATGCCCTCTTCATGATCATGTCTTGCATAAATATTCTCGTCATCTGTTAATGTATCAACAATTGACATTTGTTCAACACTTCACAAAGGATCGTCCTCCATATTAACTTCTTCTTCTGTTAATTCTCCATCGGTGAAAGCATTTATTTTATTAGACATTAGGACAATTGACCATGACTTGTCAACAGGATCTACGACGTAGAACACCTGTCGAGCCTGTGATGCAAGGATAAACGAATCATCTTGGTAACTGACCTTTTTAAAATCGACCCTTATAAAGTCCATATCGTCAATTCGAACACCATTGTTGTTGTCTACCCACTTGCATCCAAAGATTGCTACACGAAAGTTAGTGTAATCCAACTCCCATATATGTTCAATGACTCCAAAGTATGACATATTTGCATATATTGGATTTTTATCCTTTGCACTGGAGATATGCAATGATTTAGCAACCAGAGTGACCCCACTATTCTGCATTGTGCTTTGGTCGTCATGCTGTTTTGTGTAAAATGTGAAACCATTGACTAAGTATGAAGTGTATGAAAAGGCATCAATACAAGGACCTTTTGACAACCATCGAATCATTTCTGATACCGAATTGTTATTCTGTTTTAATTGTTCACCAACATATTCTTGTAGCCGTCCAATGAATCGCTGGTTATGTTCTTTTGTTATGCAAACCTCTGGAATGATTTCTACGCTTCAGTATCTCTTTATGCAAGCTTATATATGGTTCAATTTCAGGGGTGTTTTGTAATACATACAAGTGTGCTTGTTCCCATTGCAGTCTAGGGACCTTTATTTGTTGACAACCACTACTACCTTCCCCTAAAGTCCTTCCTATGTGACATGATTTTGGAATGCCACATGATTTAACATTTGACATGTATTCATTGCAAAATTTTACTGCTTCTTCCACTAAATATCGTTCAGCAATACAACCCTCTGGTCTGCTCCTATTCTTAACATATCCTTTTAAAATCTTCATATATCTTTCAACGGGATACATCCATCACATATATGCAGGGCCACACAATTTTGTCTCTTCCACCAAGTGAATAGTCAAATGAACCATGATATCAAAGAATGATGGTAAAAAATACATTTTCAGCTCACATAAAGTTTCAGCTATTTGGTTTTGCAAACATGGTAATCTCCCAGGATCAATCACTTTGCTACATATTGCCTTGAAAAAGAAACACAACTTCGTGATTGTCATGCGAACCTTCTTGGGTAGAATAGACCGTATAGCAACAAGAATTAAATTCTCTATTAATATATGACAATCATGAGACTTCAATCCTTTTAACTTTAGGTCCTTAAGTGATACAAGACTTTTAATGTTTGATGAATACCCCTCTGGAACCTTAACTGAATAAAGAGTCTCACATAAAGTACGTTTCTCATATCTAGACAGGCTACATGTTGTTGGCAGTAAAAAGGTCCGCTTTCCCTTCTTCACTGGAGACAAATCGGATCGTATTCCTAACTTCACCAAGTCAAGTCTTGCATTGATGCCATCTTTCTTTTTTCCCACAATGTTTAATAATGTACCAATCACACTTTCACAAACATTATTTTTAACATGCATAACATCAACAAAGTGTCTTACGTATAAAGATTTCCAGTACGGTAACTGAAAGAAAATTGACATCTTCTTCCAACCTGCGGTTGGAATTTATTTGGCAAAAAGTTTTCCAAATGTTGTTCTTATATGTTTAACCTCATCAAATATTTCTTCTCCACTCTTCAAATAAGGACATTGTCGTTCTTCACAACTTCCATTAAAAACTTTTTTCATTTTTCTAAAAGGATGATTTTTTGACAAGCCCCATGAAAACATTTTGTGACAATGGTCTAGTCTTATATAATCTATTTTTTCTTGACATATTGGACATGCACATTGACCTTTGATGCTGTAACCAGAAAGATTTCTATATGCAGGAAAGTCATTAATAGTTCCATACAACATTGCCTTCACCGTGAAATTTTCATCTCTAAATCCGTCATATACTTCTATGCCATTATCCCACAACAACTTCAAATCTTCAATTAAAGGAGACAAGTACACATCAACGTCATTTCCAGGTTGTTTAGGACTAGAGATTAACAAAGAAAACATCATATATTTTTGCTTCATGCAAAGCCATGGAGGTAGGTTATACATTATTAAGATCACGGGCCATGTACTATAGGTGCTACTTTTCATGCCATGTGGATTCATTCCATCGGTTGCTAATGCAAAACGTATATTCCTTGTTTCAGTTGCAAACTCTTCATGGTCATCGTCAAATTTTTTCCACTGCGAAGAATCTGTTGGATGCCTAAGCTTTCCATCTCTAATTTAGTCTTCAGCATGCCAAGTCATCTGCTTTGCATTTTTTGCACTGTGAAAAAGACGTGTTAACCTTGGTATTAGTGAAAAATACTGCACGACCTTCGCAAGTGTTGTGTTTTTCTTTAGGTATCGTGATACATTACACTTTGGACATTTCCTTAGTGATGCATACTCATTTCAGAACAAAATTCAGTCATTAGGACAATTATGGATCTTTTCATGGGTCAATCCAATGGAAGCAAGTACTTGTTTAGCCTTATATGTTCTCTTCGGTAGCACATTATCCTTCGGCAGCATCTCATGTAATAAACTTATCAGTCCATCCATTCGAGGCTTTTAAGATATAAAGCTTTAAAACAGAACTCAATCTTGTGAACTTTGTGCATCCATTATACAATGGTGTTTCTACATCATTTTTCAGCCTCTCAAACATCTTTGGACAATCTCTAAGATCTTCTTCAACAACATTTCGAATTTGTTCAGCATGATCACTCTCATTTGTTCTAAATGTCTATGAGTAATTGACACTTGATTCCATGTTAGTTGATGTACTTCCACCTTATATCTCACCGTATTTTGTCCAACAAACATATTTTTCATCTATCCTATTGCACATTAGATGTTCTTCCAATTCTTCCGCATTTACTTGTAACATATTCAAACAACACCAACAAGGACAGAGAATAAGGTTGACATCAGTTGCATTCTTAATCGCAAATCTAATAAATTCTTTGACTCCGTCTTCGTATTCTTCACTTAAACGATCAGCTACCATCCAACTTCGATCTTTATTTGCTCCAACTACGATTACGATCATTATAAATGTGAATGTCTTATTAACTCTCACATGGTAGGGCCCTATCCTATTTGAGAACAAACTTTTTCCAACCTTAATTAACAAATGCTACTTAAATGTTGTATTTTTTACTTGACAAAATTTGGGCAGCATTTCGCATTAGTTTCTTAGTACACAACTTGAAATATATGAAATGATTTACCTCAATCAAGCATGCACCAAGAGACAATGAGAAATGCTTCAAACTCAAATTTTGTTAAGTATTAAATACAATATTATGAGAAGCAAATGCTAATAAATTAATGAATATGTTTGTTCACAAACTGTCCAACTTGCACAATTTGAGATTGAAAATAATGATTTATTAAACATTATTTTCAATCTCAAACGGGAGACTATGATTTCACTCAATTTTACATTTAAAGTCATAACCTACAAAGTTTAATCACTAACAATAATCATGCCTTCATCACGTTCTACAATACAACATCAAATTCATTCATACACAGAGGAAATATACATTTCGGGGGCAAAACAAACAAGAATATAAAAATTTTAAAAATTCTAATATCATAGGTTAACAAACACAACAGCATGCTCTTGCATTATAACTAACCAGTGTCCTAATATCATGTTCAACAAATCCTAAAAAATCATTCTAACAACATTTTAGAGGTTAACAAACTAAGATTCAACCTGCCCATATCAACTTTTACAAAATAAAAATTAATTTCATGCTCTTTGTTCACGCGACAACAATGGTCAACATGTTAACAATATTCAATTCATACAAATTATAAACACAACAACATGCACGAACCTGTAATTAAGAAAGGACTACAAATTTGTCGCAGTTTAGCTAGGACCAGAAATGGAGGAGACGTCACTGTTCAACGTAAAAAATAGAGGTACGTATCAGTGAACAGAGAGAATGAGAGAGTGCGAATGTCTAAACATGGCCACACAAACAAAGAAACGATTATGAACATACCTTCAATTTCCGATTGTGATGTCAGGTGTGCTTGTTCCTTTGCAAAAATTTCTCAAAGAATACTGAACAGAGAGAATTTTGAAGTACAGACTTGGCGGGATGACAGGGATAACCAGATTAAGATTTTAAAAATACAACATCTGAGAGCGGTTATTTCATAACCGCTCTCTAATATGGACTTCTGAGAGCTGTTCATTTGGAACCGCTCTCTAATATATATTTCTTAGAGCGGTTATTTAACAACCGCTCTCAGAAGTCCATATTAGAGAGCGGTTCCCATTAAACTGCTCTAAGAAGTATATATTAGAGAGCGGTTGAGGCGAAACTCTCTCTTAGTATTTTATACAAAGCGGTTATTACTAACTGCTATCTAAGTAGGCGTTCCAAAAGTCAATTTCTGGCGTAATGGATCTTTTGATTTTCTTGTGCTCTAAAACCTTAGACTCATACATTTGGAATTAAGGAATTAATCTTTGTGTATGGGTTCAAGAGAATTTGTATGCCAAAGAATTGGATATGAATTCATTTAGTGGAACCTTTTTTAATATCTTCAAAGCTTGAACTAGTAGGGGAGTTTAGTTTATCACATGAACAATGGGTGAAGTCTAATCCAAACTATCTTGTCATTGAATTTTTTCATCTTGTTTCAGATTTGGTTGTTTATTTACTTGCAAATTTAATTAAATCAATTTATATTTTAGAGTCTCCTTCAATCCTAATCGCATTCAATTAGTTCAATTTAGTGAATCAATATGTGTTTGCATCAATCTCCATGGGAACAATGCTTTACTTTCACTATATTACTTGTACGATTCAGTGCACTTGCTGAAGGCGTTGTCACCATACCTCTCCTAACTCTTTCCTCATTAGTAAAGAGCTTTCCATGTGCAATTTTGTAGAGAAGAAAAGCATATTTTAGAGGACTATCCCAAGACCAAATTGCTTTAAATAGATCATAGGTTAGGCCTGTATAAGTGGTAGGGGAAATAAGCTACTGGTAAAATATTCCCATTGTTAAAAAGGCTCTAGAACATAGATTCAGGTCCACTATTCTTATCAGGTGGACTAATTTAGGCAATGTAATTACAGACTGAGTTGGACAGAAAATACCTCAATTCCAGGCTCCATTGGTAGCAATTAGAGGGAAGAGTACTGTTATAATTAGACAAGTTGCTAAAATTAGGCAGCCAATTATCAGTCAAAAATTTTTTATTAAAAATATAAAATTACAAAAGAAATTTAAAAAATAAAATATCATCCACTATTCATATAACACTAAAAAAAATTTAAATTATACATATAATTCTAAAAGGAAAATTAAAATATAACATTAGAGTTACTAATGTTAGGATTAAGTTATTTTTAATTTATATACAATGAGTAATTTTGTAATTTCATCTATAAATGAGTACTTGCGGGCATAGGTATCTCACTACCTAAACCTGCCCTTTTTAATTAATGAGTACTAAACAATTTATTTATTACACTAGCAGATACTCATTTGAAAACTCAAACTCGACTTATAACAGGCATTACTCCTGGGTACAATATATATATATATATATATACACGCGCATAAAAAACATGAATGTTGTTAGAGCTAGCAAAATAAGTAATTTGACCATTTAGTTTAGTACAATTTAGAACTAATTTAGACTCACAAAAATTGTGTCAAAAATAATAAAGCTTGATCTTCTATAAATTTTTGTGAGACTCACACCAGTATGAATTTAATCTGATTAAAACAATCTGTGTTTAATTTACTTTCAAGATATGTGGGTAGTAAACTGAAGTCTTTGTGTCGTAAAAATGGAAATGTCAAGATTATAGACCTTAGTAAAAATTTCATTTTGGTTAAATTTAATACTTCTAAGAATTATACATTTTAATATTGTTAATACATAATATTTTAATCTTCAAGATAACTTTGACGATGATAAAATGAAATGCAGAAGAAGTACGATGTTCATTTCTTCACTTACATTCTCGAGTGAAATTCATTGTGGCTAAATTTACATTTAAAACGAACCAAAATACACATTTAATATATTTTTAATAAAATGATAATTAAAATAAGGAAAAAAAGATAAGGTTTACTTTCTTTAGTTTAAAAAAGAATTTTTATCCATTATATTAGAGGACATTAATACTATTTATATCCCTGATTGTTGGACTTTTGAACTTAAATATATAAAAACTAAGATTAGAAGCAAATATGAAAGTATGTATAGTTTCCGTGTACTTTAGTCATTATTTTTCCTAAATCCCATGTATGCTATATTTATTTGTTTGTAAAATAATAATTTGATTTAATTTAATTATTTTTAGAATGAGTTAAATAAATAAAAAGAATAGAATTAGAGACTATTATAAATTCTATTTAAAATAATTTTACCTTAATCTAACCGTAAGTTCTCAGATTGTTATAAGGTTGAAACACTTTTTTGTATTGTCTATTTTCAACCCTCTACAAATTCAAAAATTGATAAATAATAGCATTGTGCTGTTAAGAAAATTACAAAATAATTACTTTGATTATTTGTATTAAAAATTTTCAAATTAAACTGTTTCAAATATGCAATTAAAAGTTATTTATATTTGTTATAATTTTAAAAGTATATATTATGTTAATTTTTTTTTATGTATAAGCATATGAACTAAGGTCGAAGTTTTGTTTATATCTAGTATAACTTTCTTCTAATAATGTGGATTTTGAATATTTTAGTCTTTGCTCTAGTTATTATAAGATAAATATTGCCGCTATGAGTATTAAGTTGATCATAACTTGGAGGAACTGATTTGAAGTGAGATCAACAAGATTAGTTACCGTGTCATGGTTACAGGCTTCAAAAGTAGTAAAGTTATTAGTATTAGTAAGATAGAAAATATTATTATCACTAATTGCTGCAAAATTATTTGTATAAGACAGTCACAGGTTTGCTGCAACCGAATTAACCTCTCTTTCTCTTTCCCATTATATATTAAATTTGGAAAAAGTAAATATACATGTAAAAAAATTAAATATATTTTTATTTAGAAAAATAAACATAAAAAGAAATTATCAGTAAAAATATTATAATCATTATAAATAATTTATTCAAATAAAAAGATGCTTTTGTTTTATTTCTTCTTTTATTTATTTGAATAATATATCTATTTTATTATTTCTCCTCGTAGTTTTTTCTTTTTTATTTTATTTCTTATTCAAAATACAGACCATATATTACACAGTTTGATTTCCCGAAATTTGTTTTGCAAAATATTTCCAGGATTTAAGTATGCATGGGACCTTGAGATGCAACGCCTTGCAATATTTTAAATCTGTAACCATTGTCAAATTTCAAATATACAAAAATAAAATCGAAACACAGCTTTAATTCACTGGTAAATTATATACAATAGAAGTTACTTAGCACACACGAGTCATGTAATGTGATGTATGGATATGAATCGCAAATGAATATTAAATATTTTCAAGATATAAACAGCAAGAGAACTTATTGAGAATAGATATATATTTCTAAATTTCCATCTCATTTATTTACAGAAATATTACTCTATTATCTACGTCAATAGATCAAATGATGTAACAGAATAAGGAAGAAGTTCGACGTTCACGTCCTCGCTTGCATTTTCGAGTGAAGCTCGTTGTGGCACAATCTACATTTAAAATGAACCAAATGAGATATTTTTAATATATAATAATAAGAGGAAAAAAAATCAATATTTACCTTGTTTGGCTGAGAAAAGGAGTTTTCGTCCATTACATTAGAGGATGTTAATACTATTTTTGTGGACCCGGATTGCTGGACTTTTGAACTTAATCCATTTATAGAAATTCTAAACTTCTCGGTGTCACTTCCAAAGTTTACGACCTGCAAATGTTAAAGTAAATAGCCTACTTAGGAAGAATGTTAAATTTAACTTAACATTGATTCTTAAGAAAAATTAGAGATAATGAATTACCTTTATTCTGATGTAATTCTTCTTATCTTGAGAAGATGTGTACTCAATTGCAGAGGCCACAAGAGAGTTAGAAGAAGTTTCAAGTGTTGAATTGAGGAAAGTTGCTCCACTTGATTCTATAAAAAGATGTTGAAGCCAATAACTTGGAGTTCCATAGTGCTGATAAGAGTCGAAAACAATTGCATCTGGTGTCCACCTACAGTGACAGAAATGAACGTCTCAGTCTATAGGCATCATAAATTATAATAAATAAGATAAACAATAAAATTTAAGTACAAGAAAATTACATCCTGTTGTTTGAGTTTACAAAGAGTGGTGCATAGCTGACCATGTGGACGACATCACTGAAAGATAAGAGAAAAGATATAAATTCAAAGATATGTGATTAGGGTTAACTCAAATTAGCAACACCAAGTTGATGTGAAATATATGGAACAAGTACCTGTTTTTTTCGAGTCCAATGAGGAATGCAGCTTCAGCCACAGCTGACAAGAGGCTTCCATCTCCAGCATCTTTCTTCCAAACAGCATATTCACTAACAAACGCCTGTGAATTATTTTTATTCAAAGTTGAGTGTTTATTTATATATAAATAGATGCAATATATGTACTCCACAAACATTTAAGTAACCAAACCTTTGGACCAGATCGTGGTGCGTTATCGAACTTGGTATACTTGGAAAACATGTCCTTCGCATTTGTATAAATCTAATGTGAAAAGCATAAACAACAATACGAAAATTAATATGTTTGAAACCAAAAAATCAAGAGTTACACGCATATTTTGAGACGTTACATGGAAATCATAGAGATCGGCCGGGTGATCTAACGGGTTTTGAGAACCATCACAATTTGAAATAATTTGCATATCTGGATAAGCACTTTTGATAGCAGCGTAGAACTTGAGATAGTTTCCTGATCAAACAAAAAGGGCAATAAAAAGAAATTAATTAAACAAGTTGATGTTCCATTAATAGTTTGGAATCATTTTAACTAGCTACGTACCTTGATAGTTAAACATGCCACAGTTTTCATTTCCAATGGCAACAATTCTCAAGTCAAATGGTTTAGGATGTCCCATGGCAGCTCTGAGAGATCCCCATGTTGATTTCGGGGAACCTCTTGCAAACTCAATACCATCTAGAGCTTCCTGTTAATGAATGGAGAGGCATTAAGGAAATAGTAAAAATTAAAAAAGACAAATACTAATTTAAAGAATAATAAAGATAAAAGGAAAAATAGAAGAGAACTATACTTGCACAAAAGGTGCGATGGCAGATGTATTAACTTCATCGTTAAGGCTGAGACCTAAACAAGATATTTGATGAATTAGAAATGCAGAAAATGTTTAGAACAATTATTGCTAGTAAAATAATAATTTTGAAAAAGTGAAATCTTAATAAAGCTTCAATGAATTATACTTAAGAATGCAAAATATACCAGCGTTAAAAACCCAGACTGGCAATGCACCAAGGTCCTCGGACAACTGTTGAACAAACAAATATAATTAGATTTTGCAATTATGTAAAAAAAAAGAAAAAGAAAAAGAAAATTTGATCATTTTGCAGAAGAGAAAAAATCAGACTTGGAGGCCCTCAAAATAACCAAATCCATCGTCAGTCCAATACTTCCAAACATCATCAAAGTGTCCTGGTCTCTCCTCCCAAGGCCCAACTGTTTCTTTCCACCGAAATGCATTCCTTAGATATTCTCCTTCAACGTAACAGCCCCCTATCAATGTGACAAGGTCAGAACAGTGTTCATTCTAAGATGATCTTTTTAATAATTACATGATCAAAATCTCAGAAAATAAACGGATGCCTAGAAATTTGATTACAGCTATTAAAATGAACTCGACCATTTAGTTAGTTGCAGGGTATTTCTCAGGCCTAGAATATGTTACAAATCGAACCTAACTTTCAAAATAACACACCTGGGAATCTGAAAAATTTTGGTTTGAGGTCTGCCACCATTTGAAATAGGTCCTTCCGGAAACCATGACCCTGTGCAAGGAGAAGATTAACGAAGAAATGGAGTTAAGATAAATTAATTTTAAAAAAAATATACATTGCTAATAATTGTGAATTAGGACCTTGTATGTGTCCATAGGCATAGCTGACACTTGGTCTAACCATACAACCCCTCTGGAGCTTGTTGTTATTTGAAGACTTGCATTATGATTCGTATCCTTGGCTTCCAGTATGGTCTCAATCTTTCTCCACGTTGAAACATAAAGTTCAAATGCCCTGCAAAGAACCATAAATAAACAGTCAATTAATTTTATGACTACAGTTTAATTAGTTTGTTCTAATTAAAGCAACTTACTTGATGTTCTTTGAAGCCAATTTCACACCATTATCCGACCCCACCAATGAAACATCTAGATCAATTGGACCAAGTGCTCTAACAAAGAAGACTACTCTGTACTTGTGCCCCTTCTCGATGTTCTGATTTATGAAGATTAGAAATGATGAGAAATAACATTTATATATGTTGAACTCACATATCTTATAAAGAAATGTGACATTACTCACCATGCCCCAATAACCAGGGTTAGAGATGCCAACGCCACCAGGTGGGCAAGATTTGGGTCCATTGCAAAGAACCTCCATACGTAATGCAACTTTGTTACGCTCAAAACAAGAGGTACGATCAGTTGATACGTGAATGGTTGAATCATTTCCAATAATTGACCAGGGATAAATATTCGAAGGAACACTGGGGCCTCCAGCCTCAAATCCTGAAAGTTGAATTTATTATAAACAAAAACATTAACTTTCCTTAAAATTCCAGCTAAACTGTAACAATTAATAACATAATTAGTGTAAATATATATAAAATAGAGTTTTAAGTGTATAAATATAAGTAATAAAATATATAAAAATATGAACTTATCAACATGCTATAATACATGTAGTATAACGTATAGATTAGTAGAAAGATACATGTTATGAAAATTTGAAAATTTGATCGATTGTTTGTCTTGTGTGTACTCCTTTATGATAGCGAATTGTATGATTTGAGTGTCATTGCAATTTAACCCATGTTAGAAAATATTTTCAGTATTATATATATATATATATACATAAATATATGAATATTTTGCTTATGTTAAACAAGAGATTTAGTGGGGCAGGAAATATTCACCCATACTAATATTTTCAGGTAATAAAAGTGAAGAGATAAAAATGTTTGATCCGTCCTAGGCTCATAATTCAATGGTATTGGAAGGAAGACTGCTCTGTAAGGACTGAGATGATTTGAGAAATCGTATTGTTTTATTTGATTGTATTTCGTGTTGACCAAATCTTGTAAATGATTTCAATGTCAGATTTTAGAATTCATAATACTTGGAGAATTTCGTTATAATGAATATTTTAAAGAAGTGTTCTTAGTGGAAGGTTTAAATTTCATGTATTCAATATGAACCCAGTGATTTGTTAGAGGTAAAGTCAAGTTTTATTTATTACCTTAAATGTTCCAAAATTATTCCCTTGTAAGTCCTAAACGTTTTGAAGTTTTATGAAATTTTTATAAGAAGAAAATGTAAGTTTTGTCTTTATTCCATTCTTAAACCCACGAATAACAAAAAAATAATTTTTATTCGCTTTAAAAATTTATTTATTTTGAATAAAGAAAATGAGGATGTTATAGTGGGGAGGACGACAAATAAGAGAATTAAGTATTGTTTGTTTTCTCTTTTTTAATAGAGCTTTTTATTTTTAAAATAAAAACTAAGACAATTTGTTTGTTAAGAAAATTAGTTTTAAAAACTAACTTATCAAATAATATATTTTTTATTTTTTCCTAAACAGTATTTTATAGAATTGTTTTAAAATGTAAATTTTAAAAATTAAAAATCAAAATTAAATAGCACTTAACTTTTAATTATCATTTTTTGAAGATATTAATTTACCTATTATTATTAAAAATCAAATTAACAGATAGTTTGTTTGTTTGAGTGAAAATTTTTGTTATATTCTCTTTTAAAAATTTATTTTGGAACTAATTTGAAAATGAGTTAATAATTTGTTCTAATTAATTTGTTAACATTAAAAAATAATAATACTGAAGGAGTTAAGAGGATGACAAAGAAGAGAGTTAAGGATTATTTCTTTTCTCTTCTTAAATAGAGTTTTTTCTTTTTAAAAATAAAATAATATGACAATTTGTTTGTTAATAAGATTAGTTTTAAAAACTAATTTATCAAACAATTTTATTTTTATTTTTTTTAAAATTTGTTTTATAGAATTGTTTTTAAATATAAATTTTAAAAATTAAGAATCAAAATTAAATAGCCCTTAATTTTTAATTATTATTTTTTTGAAGATATTAATTTATTTATTATTGTTGAAAATCAAATTAACATATAGTACATCTATTCTATTGAAGATTTTTGTTATATTCTTTTTTAAAAATTTAGTTTGGAACTAATTTAAAAATGAATTAATAATTTGTTCTAATTATATTATTAATATTAAAAAATAATAATACTGAAGATTTTTTGTTATATTCTCTTTTAAAAATTTGGTTTGGAACTAATTTAAAAATAAATTAATAATTTGTTCTAATTATATTATTAATATTAAATAATAATAATACTGAAGGAATTGAGAGGATGATAAAGAAGAGGGTTAGAGATTTTTTTTCTCTATTTAAATAGAATTTATTGTTTTTAAAAATAAAATAATAAGACAATAATATTGATTGATATTATTCCCTTGTAAGTCCTAAACGTTTTGAAGTTTTATAAAATTTTCATAAGAAGAAAATGTAAGTTTTGTCTTTATTCCATTCTTAAACTCACGAATAACAAAAAAAAATCACTTTTATTCGTTATAAAAGTTTATTTATTTTGAATAAAGAAAATGAAGATGTTATAGTGGAGAGAACGACAAATAAGAGAAATATTTTATAGAATTGTTTTAAAATGTAAATTTTAAAAATTAAAAATCAAAATTAAATAGTACTTTTTTTTAATTATCATTTTTTAAAGATATTAATTTACCTATTATTATTAAAATTAAATTAACAGATAGTTTATTTGTTCTAATGAAGATTTTTGTTATATTCTCTTTTAGAAATTTATTTTAGAACTAATTTGAAAATGAGTTAATAATTTGTTCTAATTAATTTGTTAACATTAAAAAATAATAATACTGAAAGAATTTAGAGATGACAAAAAGGAGAGTTAAGGATTATTTCTTTTCTCTTCTTGAATAGAGTTTTTTGTTTTTAAAAATAAAATAATAGGACAATTTGATTGTTAGTAAAATTAGTTTTAAAAACTAACTTATCAAACAATTTTTTTTATTTTTTTTCTAAAAGTTCTTTTATAGGATTATTTCTAAATATAAATTTTAAAAATTAAAAATCAAAATTAAATAGCCCTTAATTTTTAATTATTATTTTTTTGAAGATATTGATTTATTTATTATTGTTGAAAATCAAATTAACATATAGTACATCTATTCTATTGAAGATTTTTGTTATATTCTCTTTTAAAAATTTAGTTTGGAACTAATTTAAAAATGAATTAATAATTTGTTCTAATTATGTTATTAATATTAAAAAATAATAATTTTGAAGATTTTTGTTATATTCTCTTTTAAAAATTTGGTTTGGAACTAATTTAAAAATAAATTAATAATTTGTTCTAATTATATTATTAATATTAAATAATAATAATACTGAAGGAATTGAGAGGACGATAAAGAAGAGGGTTAGAGATTTTTTTTCTCTATTTAAATAGAGTTTTTTGTTTTTAAAAATGAAATAATAAGACAATTTATTTGTTAGTAAATTCAATTTTAAAAACTAACTTATCAAACAATTTTTTTTTTAAAAAAAAAGTTTTATAGAATTGTTTCAAAATGTAAATTTTAAAAATTAAAAATCAAAATGAAATAGCTATTAATTTTTAATTATTATTTTTTGAAGTTATTAATTTATCTATTATTATTGAAAATCGAATTAACATATATTTTGTCTGTTTTATTGAAGATTTTTGTTATACTCTTTTTTATAAATTTATTTTAGAAATGATTTAAAAATGAGTTAATAATTTATTTTAATCAGTTTGTTAATATTAAAATATAATAATACTGAAGGAGTTGAGAGGACGATAAGAAAGAGGGTTAAAGATTATTTTTTCTCTTTTTAAATAGAATTTTTTGTTTTTAAAATAAAATAATAGGACAATTTATTTGTTAGTAAATTCAATTTTAAAAACTAACTTATCAAACAAAATTTTTTTAAAGAAATTTTTATAGAATTGTTTCAAATGTAAATTTTAAAAATTAAAAATCAAAATGAAATAGCTATTAATTTTTAATTATCATTTTTTGAAGATATTAATTTATCTATTATTATTGAAAATCAAATTAACTTGTTATATTCCCTTTTAAAAATTTATTTTGGAAGTAATTTAAAAATCAGTTACTAATTTGTTCTAGTCAGCTTGTTAACACAGTCCAATTGCTCTATGATAGGATAGAAAAAAATAATAATACTATAAGGTGGAGAAGACCACCAAAAAGAGAGAGTTAAGGACTGTCTGTTTTCTCTTCTTGAATAGAGTTTTTTGTTTTTAAAAATAAAAGAAATAGGATAATTTGTTTGTTATAAAATTGTTTTAATATATAAATTTTAAAAATTGAAAAGAAAAATTAAATAGCTCTTAATTTTTAATTATTGTTTAAGTTACCTTTTTGACTGTTATTGAAAATGAAATTAACGGATAGTCCCATCAGTCTGTTGAAGATTTTTATTATATTCTAATTTGAAAATTTATTTTGAAACTAATATGAAAATCAACTATAAGTTGTTCCCATCTATAGTTTGTTAACACTATCCATCCAGATGCTCTATAAATACCGTTGAAAGGGAACCAGAGACTGAACACACTTGATCGACGATGTCTCTCTCTTTCAAGATATTTCTTCTTTGTTTAGTTTGCTGTGCTTCTGGTTGCTTCGGAGATGCAACACAAATTTCAACATTAGTTGTAGATGGATCCAAAGGTTCAGGGAGACAAATTCCAGATACATTTTTTGGAGCATTTTTTGAGGTAACTTAACACACCTTAGAAATGAAGTTTTAAATCATTGGATGAGTTAAACTGAACCAACTCTTCATGCAGGAGATTAATCATGCTGGCGCAGGGGGATTGTGGGCGGAACTTGTGAGGAACAGAGGTTCATTTTATAAGTTAAATTTTGTATTAATGTTCTAAGGAATGAACGATGTTAGAACATTTTTAAGGAAAGTTAATGTTTTTGTTTATAATAAATTCAACTTTCAGGATTTGAGGCTGGAGGCCCCAGTGTTCCTTCGAATATTTATCCCTGGTCAATTATTGGAAATGATTCAACCATTCACGTATCAACTGATCGTACCTCTTGTTTTGAGCGTAACAAAGTTGCATTACGTATGGAGGTTCTTTGCAATGGACCCAAATCTTGCCCACCTGGTGGCGTTGGCATCTCTAACCCTGGTTATTGGGGCATGGTGAGTAATGTCACATTTCTTTATAAGATATGTGAGTTCAACATATATAAATGTTATTTCTCATCATTTCTAATCTTCATAAATCAGAACATCGAGAAGGGGCACAAGTACAGAGTAGTCTTCTTTGTTAGAGCACTTGGTCCAATTGATCTAGATGTTTCATTGGTGGGGTCGGATAATGGTGTGAAATTGGCTTCAAAGAACATCAAGTAAGTTGCTTTAATTAGAACAAACTAATTAAACTGTAGTCATAAAATTAATTGACTGTTTATTTATGGTTCTTTGCAGGGCATTTGAACTTTATGTTTCAACGTGGAGAAAGATTGAGACCATACTGGAAGCCAAGGATACGAATCATAATGCAAGTCTTCAAATAACAACAAGCTCCAGAGGGGTTGTATGGTTAGACCAAGTGTCAGCTATGCCTATGGACACATACAAGGTCCTAATTCACAATTATTAGCAATGTATATTTTTTTTAAAATTAATTTATCTTAACTCCATTTCTTCGTTAATCTTCTCCTTGCACAGGGTCATGGTTTCCGGAAGGACCTATTTCAAATGGTGGCAGACCTCAAACCAAAATTTTTCAGATTCCCAGGTGTGTTATTTTGAAAGTTAGGTTCGATTTGTAACATATTCTAGGCCTGAGAAATACCCTGCAACTAACTAAATGGTCGAGTTCATTTTAATAGCTGTAATCAAATTTCTAGGCATCCGTTTATTTTCTGAGATTTTGATCATGTAATTATTAAAAAGATCATCTTAGAATGAACACTGTTCTGACCTTGTCACATTGATAGGGGGCTGTTACGTTGAAGGAGAATATCTAAGGAATGCATTTCGGTGGAAAGAAACAGTTGGGCCTTGGGAGGAGAGACCAGGACACTTTGATGATGTTTGGAAGTATTGGACTGACGATGGATTTGGTTATTTTGAGGGCCTCCAAGTCTGATTTTTTCTCTTCTGCAAAATGATCAAATTTTCTTTTTCTTTTTCTTTTTTTTTACATAATTGCAAAATCTAATTATATTTGTTTGTTCAACAGTTGTCCGAGGACCTTGGTGCATTGCCAGTCTGGGTTTTTAACGCTGGTATATTTTGCATTCTTAAGTATAATTCATTGAAGCTTTATTAAGATTTCACTTTTTCAAAATTATTATTTTACTAGCAATAATTGTTCTAAACATTTTCTGCATTTCTAATTCATCAAATATCTTGTTTAGGTCTCAGCCTTAACGATGAAGTTAATACATCTGCCATCGCACCTTTTGTGCAAGTATAGTTCTCTTCTATTTTTCCTTTTATCTTTATTATTCTTTAAATTAGTATTTGTCTTTTTTAATTTTTACTATTTCCTTAATGCCTCTCCATTCATTAACAGGAAGCTCTAGATGGTATTGAGTTTGCAAGAGGTTCCCCGAAATCAACATGGGGATCTCTCAGAGCTGCCATGGGACATCCTAAACCATTTGACTTGAGAATTGTTGCCATTGGAAATGAAAACTGTGGCATGTTTAACTATCAAGGTACGTAGCTAGTTAAAATGATTCCAAACTATTAATGGAACATCAACTTGTTTAATTAATTTCTTTTTATTGCCCTTTTTGTTTGATCAGGAAACTATCTCAAGTTCTACGCTGCTATCAAAAGTGCTTATCCAGATATGCAAATTATTTCAAATTGTGATGGTTCTCAAAACCCGTTAGATCACCCGGCCGATCTCTATGATTTCCATGTAACGTCTCAAAATATGCGTGTAACTCTTGATTTTTTGGTTTCAAACATATTAATTTTCGTATTGTTGTTTATGCTTTTCACATTAGATTTATACAAATGCGAAGGACATGTTTTCCAAGTATACCAAGTTCGATAACGCACCACGATCTGGTCCAAAGGTTTGGTTACTTAAATGTTTGTGGAGTACATATATTGCATCTATTTATATATAAATAAACACTCAACTTTGAATAAAAATAATTCACAGGCGTTTGTTAGTGAATATGCTGTTTGGAAGAAAGATGCTGGAGATGGAAGCCTCTTGTCAGCTGTGGCTGAAGCTGCATTCCTCATTGGACTCGAAAAAAACAGGTACTTGTTCCATATATTTCACATCAACTTGGTGTTGCTAATTTGAGTTAACCCTAATCACATATCTTTGAATTTATATCTTTTCTCTTATCTTTCAGTGATGTCGTCCACATGGTCAGCTATGCACCACTCTTTGTAAACTCAAACAACAGGATGTAATTTTCTTGTACTTAAATTTTATTGTTTATCTTATTTATTATAATTTATGATGCCTATAGACTGAGACGTTCATTTCTGTCACTGTAGGTGGACACCAGATGCAATTGTTTTCGACTCTTATCAGCACTATGGAACTCCAAGTTATTGGCTTCAACATCTTTTTATAGAATCAAGTGGAGCAACTTTCCTCAATTCAACACTTGAAACTTCTTCTAACTCTCTTGTGGCCTCTGCAATTGAGTACACATCTTCTCAAGATAAGAAGAATTACATCAGAATAAAGGTAATTCATTATCTCTAATTTTTCTTAAGAATCAATGTTAAGTTAAATTTAACATTCTTCCTAAGTAGGCTATTTACTTTAACATTTGCAGGTCGTAAACTTTGGAAGTGACACCGAGAAGTTTAGAATTTCTATAAATGGATTAAGTTCAAAAGTCCAGCAATCCGGGTCCACAAAAATAGTATTAACATCCTCTAATGTAATGGACGAAAACTCCTTTTCTCAGCCAAACAAGGTAAATATTGATTTTTTTTCCTCTTATTATTATATATTAAAAATATCTCATTTGGTTCATTTTAAATGTAGATTGTGCCACAACGAGCTTCACTCGAAAATGCAAGCGAGGACGTGAACGTCGAACTTCTTCCTTATTCTGTTACATCATTTGATCTATTGACGTAGATAATAGAGTAATATTTCTGTAAATAAATGAGATGGAAATTTAGAAATATATATCTATTCTCAATAAGTTCTCTTGCTGTTTATATCTTGAAAATATTTAATATTCATTTGCGATTCATATCCATACATCACATTACATGACTCGTGTGTGCTAAGTAACTTCTATTGTATATAATTTACCAGTGAATTAAAGCTGTGTTTCGATTTTATTTTTGTATATTTGAAATTTGACAATGGTTACAGATTTAAAATATTGCAAGGCGTTGCATCTCAAGGTCCCATGCATACTTAAATCCTGGAAATATTTTGCAAAACAAATTTCGGGAAATCAAACTGTGTAATATATGGTCTGTATTTTGAATAAGAAATAAAATAAAAAAGAAAAAACTACGAGGAGAAATAATAAAATAGATATATTATTCAAATAAATAAAAGAAGAAATAAAACAAAAGCATCTTTTTATTTGAATAAATTATTTATAATGATTATAATATTTTTACTGATAATTTCTTTTTATGTTTATTTTTCTAAATAAAAATATATTTAACTTTTTTATATGTATATTTACTTTCTCCAAAGAGAGGTATCGGGAGGGATCGGTAAAGGAGTAAGAAGAAAAGAGTAATAGAAAGAATTATAAGTTAAAGATTATTATATACATACATATATATATATATATATATATATATATATATATGTATGTATGTATGTATGTATATTATATTTAATCTGTAATTATTAACATTTGTAAGTAGTAAATTTCACTTAACTTTTAATGTATATTTGGATTAAAGACTTGAACGAAGTATTCTTCCACATTTCATTACATCATTTGATTTATTGAAGTTGATGACATTAAAATATTTTTACAAAATAAATGACATGGAAATTTTAGAAATGTATTTCTACTCTCAATAAATAAATTTGATACAATTTTCCTTTATGTTAATATCTATTGGTTCTTTTTTTATTTTTTTCATTGAAAATCTTTAATATTTATTTGCAATTTAGATTATGAGGTAAAGATTATTTAAAAATGAATTATTAAAGATAAATATAATTATAGTTCTTCAAACATTATATAAATGACATGAGTCACTGACGTAAGTTATATTATTATAAATGATATATAATTTATAAAATGTCTTATGCTCATTACTTTGGAAGAAAAATGAGAGTTTAATTTTAATAAATTATATGATAATTTTTTTTTTTTGAGAAGCATCAAATTCTTCTAGTAATTAATGGATATGAGTTTCAAAATCATCTTAAACTTGAAAAATTCTTTTCTTTACAATTATAAAGTCTCTTAAAGAATGTCAAGAAATAAGGTTCAACAAGAGAATACTTCACTTAGAGTTTAGAGTTTCTCTTACCGATGATGCTATACTAACTGAATTACTAGAAGATTATTATGATTATTTTATTTGTTGTATCAGTAACATCAAGAAAAAATCCTTATAATATTGTGATAAGTTTATATTTTATAGCTTATTTTTACATATTTAATGCTTGCTTGATGAAGATTTTGTATTGTTTTTTTATTAATTATTACAATTTAGTATGAATCAATTATCAACGAATTACAGAAGTATTTTAGTCACAATTAAAAAAATATTATGAAAAGTAAAGCTACGTTTAATAATCACAAGATCTAATTACTAACAATGAATTACAGAAGTATTTTAGTCATAATTAAAGAAAATGTTATGAAAAATAGAACTACGCTTAGCATCCAAGAGGGCTTCGACAACAAATACAACCATGCTTAGTATTTAACATAGAAGTGCTTCCTAGACATGTTTATAGGTATACAAAATTTTCATTATTAATAGTTTTTTCTTTCCTTTTCTTATACTTATTGATAATATTATTTTCTATTGAGTTCTCTCTATCTTTTATCTCTTTATTCTTTTTGAGTCACTGTAAGTTTGATATCTTACAAAATATATTCGCTCTCAGATTTAGTTAATAACAACTTCTATCTTTACTTGCACATTTGCTCAGTATCTAATTCTCCATACCCATCTGTATTACATATATTTTAGTTAACTCAATTATAATTTTCATGCATTTTATGAATTAATAAAAAAAAACATTAAAGTGTTTTTTACCGTATCCAAAAACTATCAAAGGGTAAAAATAACCCGTTTACCTTGGAGCTTTGATACAATGACATTTGTCTTTCAACACTACAAGTATGCATAGAGGTGTTTTATCTAAAAATTAAACAAATTTGTAAGACATGACCCATTTAGGGATTTGGTGAAAAAAATAGTTAATTGTCTTTGATAAATTAATAATTCTCTTTATCCTCTTGTACGCGTTGCCACCCTTCAATTCCTTGTTCCAAAACCTTTATCACATCACTTCTCAATCTTCTCCAATTGAGCTCTTCATGAATAATGGCGTTGCTGTTAGTAAGATTGTATTCTTAGTGATGATGTGAGAGCACTTCATCTTTAGTAGCAAATTATTAAAATATAAATCATTTAATAACTGCTACTTGACGTAAATTATATTTGAGTACGTGTCATTTTATTATTAACTCAACATGGACGGATAAAAATTACCATAGAAACTACCATAATATTGCTAAGAATTTATATATTAAGAATAATTTTGATTACAAAATTATGAGAATATTAAATTTGAATTATAAAACTAGTCAAAATTAGAAGTTTGGTGATAGTCATATGAGCACTTAAAATAATCATGCATTTTTTTAATCTTAATTGTTAAACTAAAATATAATGCTTTATTTTTAGTATTCACATTCTCACAGTCAGCAAGTGTTCTTATATCATATATATATATATATATATATATATATATATATATATACACACACACACGAAATAATAAATGGTACAAAACAAAAATTGACCAAAATGGTGTAATCAAAGCCCACTTTAATTCTTGTATAACTACTACTGACTATTATTTTTTGATTTAACATGTGAGTTCATAAAAATATTAGAAAAAACTGTAGATTCTCCACAGAACATTCTTGAGATAGAAAAAGAAGATAACACAGTTACTACACAAGAATTAGTGTTGAAATTCCAAAACCGAAGAAAAAACTATAATAATTGTCTAAAGACAATCATAAATAAAACTATATGAAAAATTTACAATACATTTTTCTTTTAATCACTCTATGGCCCCAGTATATCCATATTTTCCAAAGTAACTACCTGATTTCACGACACTTTAAAACACAAGTATAAAGAAAAAAGTATACTTTATTTCAACTAAATGCAAAAGAAAAAATGTGTGACGTGGTCAAAATTTATATTGAAAATTTTCACACCAAATAGTAAAGTATATACACACACACTATTCATTAAATATTATACCCATTCTCAGCCTAATCATGTGGCAAGAATAACCTGCTAAATTAAATATTATATGTAAAGCCAATATAAGTTTAACCAATAAAAAGAAAGGAAAAAAAAAAGAAGAACTGAATAATTTTTACCATGTATAGTTTAGAAGCAGAGTCTTCTCTTACAGGCCTGAAAAGGCAGTGTGTACAAACATCCTAATTCTCTAACAATCTCTTCAATCAAATCCCTGTAGATATAATCCTGCAAAGCCAACCCAATTCTTCCAAGCTCTCGCTTTTCTCCCCATGCAACGTCCCTACACACTTCCTCTACACTTTTTGTCATGGCTTTGCTACTCCACATTACTGAATGATCTTCGTCGCTCAACTTCTTATTTACCAACTCGCTCGTCATTCTCTCGTAGATATAATTGTTGCTGATTTCTTCCTCTCCTGGTTTCTTCAGTAACTGCTGCTTTTGTTGTTGCATTCGCGCTGTGCACAAAAATGCCACATCCACATTAATGATATTAACTATCACCAATTATACATACACAAGTGATGTGATAGTTATTGAATATTCTGTACTCCAATGCATATTTTAAATTAGGTAGACTGTTGAATTAAATTGTTGGTATGCCTTTAAATTTAATTTTAAACTTAACTCCAAAAGCTAACTTATAAGATAAGCATTCTCTTAATTTTTACTAGTTTTACTTTAGTTATATATATTTAAAATTATCATGAGATTTCATGAACACACGCTTTTAACTTTCAAGATTAAACATTTAAAACGTAGAAATTATATGACTATTTTTTTAATATTGTACTAAAGAGGTGACAAGGCCAGGTAAATTTTGTTGAAAAAACCACAAAAATCAAGTTAACTGCATTGAAAAAATTAGAAGGCTAATTTTCTTTTTACAGATAAGAGTAGCCTAATACTTAGATCTATGATGGGTTTTAATAGTATATTAAAAAATAGTTAAACCTATCTCAACTCTAAAGGTTAAATTTTAAGATAAAAATTATTTAACTTTAACAAGTTCTACTTTCACTATATCTTTAATTGAGATATATGAAACCTAAAGGTTACAGCCAATAGAAAATATAAGGGTTTTTATTTGTGTTTCTTCTCTAATAAAAAAAAAATTGAAGATAACTACATAGTTATATAATCTAAAAAGCTAAACATAGTGTGAAAAAAAAATGACATTTTTTATAAGTTAGAAAGAGTACATTTTTAAAAATTATAAAGAGCTATGTCTTTCAAAATAAATAGAGCCTGTCAAAACACATACTTAATTAGACCCAATAACACGGATAAAATATTTTCACATAAATTAACTAAAAAACTATACCAACTGTTTTCAATTTAGCAATATGATTGTGCATGTTATATCTTTGATATAGCTATATATATTTTTAAATTTATTTGGAATATACGCCATGCATCCTTTTCAAATTATTTATCACTTTAAAAAAATAATTTCGTTTGAAATTTATTACTCTAGAAAATTAAAAAAGTGTTTCTAAAATATTCTTATTTATTGGTATTTAAATATTATACAAAGCACATTAATTCTTTTAATAAGAGCATTTAAGTTAAAAGTAATAATTTTGTCATAATAATTGGTGTAATTAAACTTTTTAAAGAAATACGTGCGTTACCTTAAATTACATAGTATTTTGAAATAGGAGTAGTATGTTATTAGTGTAGATAAGTGTAGATATTTAATGGGCATTTTGTAAGGAACAGGCACAACGGTATCGTTGGAAAAGCAGTGAGCGAAGACAATGTATTGGTGAAGCCACCACGCGCATGAATGCACCTGAGGCAGTGCAGTACCGTTGTTGAGAGGAGGGTGGTGGGGTGGGGTTCAAAATTAACAAATCCCTGAAAAAGTGGGTTTCTGCATGCCCAGTGGCAGGTAAAGCTCCAAAGGTAGCTCTCTTCTTTTCTTTCTCCCCTCCCTCCTTTTTCTTTTTAACATCTTTTGACTGCCTCAACTCATGAGGCATAGTCACTAGGGTACAATTTGTGGTCCAACATCCATCCACCAAAGTACCACAATTTATTAGTTTCTTATCATTATGGATCACAGCTAAAGGAGAGTTTGGGCTTCTTTAATTTTGGTTTCTAGGGAGAAACTTTTAGTAATAGTGGGAAGAGAATATGGATTTTTTTTTTCAAATTTATTTATGGTTAGACGTACACTGAAGGAACATTTGAAGAAGAGGAATTGTTCACTGTTTTCATAACAACAGATAGCTGTGAATCACTTTATGTTAAATTGGGTGCAGGATGATTGCAATGGTAAGAGGTAATTAATTTGTCTCCCACTATGATGATGGTCATGATGGTGTGGAATACAAGAGTTATAATTTCTAACATGGAATCCTAAAAATCAATAATCATGGACAGAGACAACATGTGCTTTTCGATCAAAGATCAATGTCTCCCCCCTTCATCGGTAAGTAACTCGTTCTACACCCTCCACGATGATTACAAACTATGGCATCTTCGGACTTAGGGATTGTGAATGTCCTCTCATAAGAATGACAATTAAGTTAATTTTTTCATAGGGGGATAAAAAGCTAACTTTCAATCGGCATATGCCACTAATAATCTAATATATTGATTGATCCGAACAGTAATTAATTTTACTTTTGGCCCTTGAAATCTTGCCATTAATCCAAAATATAATAACGTAACTTATTTGTGCCCCCTCCTTTTTCACTTTAGTCATTTCGTACCTAACTCAAAGGAGAAAAGAAAATACTTTTGACAAAAAAAATAAGAGAAATGAAAGTGAATATCAAAAGAGGTAATTTGCTCATCTAATCTAATGATCTATATCAATTTCCTTTTCATGAAAAACAATACATAAAACATGTCGTACGAAACTGTAGCAAATAATATTCAGGCCCCATACGGAGCACCTAAAACTAATTGCTAAAAAAACAACAAAATTTGCAACTATAGTAAGTTCATTCACAATTGATTTTGCAATCAACAAAGCAAATTCATCTACTGTGTATGCAGAATGTGTTATAATCATGCAAGGAAAAAAAGAAGAAGCTACATATAAGCAAATTTAAAAAGATTAGCAACTAATATAATTATAATAATTAAAATTATATTTTTCTTACGATAAATTTTTACATTTTTTAAAACTTTTCTCCGTCACTTTACTAATCTTATCACTTATATTTTTTTACCTTTTCATCAAATTTCTCTCAATTATAACAAAATTGTACAATTTTTGCTTTGTATAAACAGCATTTCTCCTCAAATTATTCTAGACTTCACCGGAATCCGTGTGCCATTAAAATTGACTTTCATAAGCCATATTAAACTCGAATAATTCATTTAAAATTAATTTAACAGCAAAAAAAAAACTAAAAAAAAGAGAGACGGTGGAAAGCAAAAACATTGATGAATAGGAAGGTTGACGGAGAGAAATAGTTAGGTGGCTTACCGAATGAATGCCGTCCCGAGTGGCAACTCGAACTGAGTGGCGAACGAGTGAACTCGTCAAGAACGGAAACCGGACTCGGTTGCTGTTGCTCGCTGTTAATCACAGTACACTTCACCTCCGAAACCGTTCTGATTTTGTCCATAAAGCACCCGGGAACCGCCGCCGCCGCCACTGACGGAGGATCAGTCAATCGCACGGCCTCAATGATCTTCTTCAGCGCCTTCAAATCCTCATCACACCTCTGCAATGCTCCTAACAACCTCTGCCTCTTCTCCGTCACCGACTCCGGCGCGGCCGGAACCGCCTCCAGCCCCATCAACCTGGCCACCAGTGCCGGTGTTTCCCGGCGGTTCTCAATCGACGTTGCCGGCGGCTTCAGACTCGATCGACGAATCTCCGCCGGCAGCGTCGGACTCCTGGGCACCTCGGACGACAATCTCCGGTCACCACTGGCGGCGCTCTTCTCCTCATTTGCTTTTTCCGGTGGCGAATTTGCGGCGGGGGCTAGAGAGGAAACGGTAGAGCCGTTGGTCTTAATCTCCCTCTTTCCTGAGGATAATGACAAAATAAAAGAATAAGTATGTGTGACTAAAATTTCCTGAGAAAACAAACGGATTTGGTGTGGGCCCGGGAAAATGCAAAACGAACCGAATGTGAGGAAACGGCGAGAGCGACGAGAATGAGAGTTAGAGATGAAGTGGAGAATGCCGGACATGCAACCTATTGTCTTAGCGTGAATCTTGTCCGGCGGGGTTTCTCGCCGTGACGACGACGGCGACACCGTGCTGTTTTGTCTCTTCATTACTCTTTCTCTCTCTCTCTCTCTTTTTTTTCGTTCCACTCACAGTGCGTTTGGTGGTGGTGTAAAAGGGTAACGGTTATCACAAGAACAACGTAGATTAAAGCAAATTGCACGTGGAATGTTAATTATCATGTTTCAGTTTCTTTTTCTCTTTTCGTTGTCTATTTCTTTTTAAATTTTTTGGATATTGGGGAGGGCAATTTGGTAATTAAAAGGTACTTGGGTCTTAATTTTGTATGTGGTTGCTTTGTTGCTAATAATTCGGGGGGTGGATTAAGGAGTGGTTGAGTGAAGTGAGTGAGTTTTGTTGCACGGGATCTCAATGGCCACCACGCCATAGAAGGATAAAGTAACAGCGAAGGACTCGTTAAAAGAGTGGCTTCAGCATCCAGTTATGCATGACACTCATTATTGACTCTCAAGTCAGGTCCCAATTGGTCATTTTTCTAATTTTAGCTACCAACTTCTAGTTTTAGCATATGCCTAATTTGAACTCTCAAGCGTAATCCGAAAGATCTACATTCTGGAATTTATAATTAAATTATCTGGCAGATTAAATTGTCATAAAAAAAACTACTTAACATTTTGTGTATAGTAATTAAAATAAAAATGTTTTGAGTAGAAATTTTGTTGAAAAATAATTATAAACTAATTAAAAAATTGAGGTATATGGGTCGACCTATACAGGAACTAGTGGGCTAGCGTCAGCTACAATGACAACTGTTGATTGAAGTCCACAGTGGACCAAAATAATCCAACAAAAATCATTCCTAAAATGACCAACTCTAACGTACACCCAATCAAATGGGGAGAATTGGCACGCCCTACCATATTTACCTAGTGTTATAATTCTTTTACAACTAAACTTTTTTTTTATTATCACTAAAGATCACTTTGTAAAGTCAACAAAATAACATGTATTCTTTTTATTATTAAACATCACATCTACACATTATATACATCAACGATTACTATAACAAGGTAGAAAAATAATAATAATAATAAAATACTTGAATTGTGATAAAGAATAGATTTCTTATGTCATGAGAGGAGGTATAATAAAAAAATATTAAATACATTTGAGGATTGAGTTTAAAAAAAATAAAAAAGAGAACAATTCTCCAATCTTTAAAATAAAATAATAAATTGATATAAAATAAATATATTAATATTAATTTACTTTATAAACATTATAATTTTTTCAATGTAAAATAAAATATTTATCCTGTATTCTTACCTCTCAAAAAAACTTATCTATCACCCCCTTCAAATTCCACATTACCGTCGACTGTGCTCACCTTTTTTTTTTCGAATCCTAATTCTACTGTATTTCATGCCTCATATCATCCTCGTCTTATCTATCATGAGCTTTGTTTTTGTTTTCAATCGAAACATTCAAAAGGACATGCAAAGTTTTTTAGCACTATGACTATTTTTTCCTTTCTACTTTTGTCTTTACGGAAGTGGAAGTGGAAGTGGAATCTTCACCGATCGAGCTTTTCATTACTAAAATGCTCATCATCCTCAAAATCACTAAATGGCATAGAATAATCATAATTATCAAATCTAAAACTGCTTTTAACTATTTTTACAAAAAAAAATGCCTTTAATTATGAAAAAAATTCACTATTTAGTAGAAATTGTTCGAACAAAAACTGTTAAAAAAAAAAAAAAAACACTTGAGCTGATCTTTGTCTCATCCTTTCTTACAATTTTTCCCTTGACTTATCATCTATTTAAGGAAACACAGCACCCATCCTCTAACCGTATCGGTACGAAGTTATTCGTACTTTTAAAACAGCACTGTTTAATATAATTAGCAAAAATATATTTAAAGCTGAATAAACCACTAAATAACTTTTCAGTGGATAATTCGGCCAAAATATCTCGTGGCATCAAGCTAGTATATTAATATTATGTTTAGATTCGTGTTTACATAAATTCAAGTTTATTTTAATGTTATTAATATTAATTTTTATATTAAATTTATGTTTACAATTTTTTTAATATATTTTTGAGCACACCATTGAGATATCAATTTTATATTAGTGAGCTGGTGCTGTCAAAAAGGGCCAATCCTAAAATAATTTATTAAGTCTTAATTTAATATTAATTAAAAACTTTTAATTTGGTCTTAAGTTATTTAGCGCATAACAAATGGGTTAGAGTAGGAATACTCATAAGTTGACCCTGATCTAAGAAATATTTTCAAACTTCATTTTGAAACTCTAATCCCAAATTTTTTAATATTCTCAACCACAAACACTCCAACTCTCGCAACTTGAAGACTAATTCGTGTGTGCTCACAAACACCCCTTGAAGACGTAATATGCGTGTGCTCACAAACATTCGAACTCTGAAGGTCTAGCTGATACAAGGAGCAATCTTGCTTAAACCCGAAAGGTAAAGATTGGTATAAACTTTATAAATTATACTTTGTATCGTTTCTTTGTACAAGCTCGTGATTTTCGAAGCAAGTGGGTCTTTTAAATGCTTTGCGATATTATCCTTGACATTTTGAGCAATCTGTTGGATATGCTTTTGTCTATTTTACGCTTTCAATTTTTTCCTTTT